AACTTGGATTTGAGTTGAGTTGCAAGCTACCATATCTCCGAGTTTGAGTTGGGTGCACAGCGCCAAGTTATTCTCATCTGTTGCATGCATGTTTGAGTGTGAATTTGCAAGACTGATTTCACAGAGAAGATTAGCATGAATATGGAGGGAGGAATAAAGAGGAGAGAAGATTCAGAAGAAGGAAAAACAAACAAACAAAAAAAGAATCACTTTTCCTTGTCGTTCAACTTGCCTCGTCTAGGGAGAATGGAGTGCCTCTTGTGTGCATTCTAACGCTGCTGTTATTGCTTTGTCAGAGTTGGAGGGGGTGTGCGAGAGAAAGTTGTAGAGCCGAGATACGCAAAAGTGCTTTGTGCATTGATCCTACGGATAGGAAGTGTTCTGGAAACACTCCATGTCAACATGCAACCTGCGAAGTAAGTTCTTCTTGCTCCCTTTTTTTTTGTTGTTGTTGTTGTTGCTTTCCACTTCTGGGACCATTTCCCAATTTATTTGCGGCGTTTTTGGGCAGGGGTTATGCTAATCTTCTTTGCTCTGATCCAATTTTCACAGATTTCCCGAAGGACTTTTCATTGCATGGTTGGTCGTGCTCGTTTTTTTTTGTTTTTTTTTTTTATTCAATGCAACCTGTAAAAAGTAAGCCCCTGTTTTTCTTGGTCCTTTTTTCCTGCTTGTTCATTGTATAGTTGGTGCTGCTTTGTTTTTTGGATAATCATTTGGACGAGTAGGAGTCAAAGGAGTCCGACAGAGCCTGCCCCCATTGACTCTCCAGCAGTCTAAGCAGTCTTAGAGGATAACACAATTTTTCCTTTTGTTCTTTTTTTCAACAGGATAGCAGAATTTGTAACAGGGCTGGTTCATCAACCAGCCATTTCAAACGGAATGGGGCTGGTTCGCTGGGGTCGAGCGGTTGAGCTGGAAAGTGGACAAAATTTCTTCTTTTGTTTTTGGATGCGGGGCCTGTATGTGCTCACCAAGATCATGCAGAATCCGCATTGACATTNTGGAAAGTGGACAAAATTTCTTCTTTTGTTTTTGGATGCGGGGCCTGTATGTGCTCACCAAGATCATGCAGAATCCGCATTGACATTTGGAGAAGTGCCCCCCCGCCCCCCGCGGCCTCGCATGTGGGGCCTTACGAGGACGGCTCACCGGGCCTTACCGGGAATGGGCTGGGGCCAACCAGTGTCCAACCGGGGCCAGACGCGTTGGCCGGCTCAACAGGATGCCAGCCGGTTGAATCGGGGACCAGCCTGATTCAAGTCTTGACTATGCGTGTCGGCCAGGCATGTAGTGTGTTGACTATGTGCATAGCGATGCTGTTGTTTGCTGCAGGTTGCCCATAACTTTCTCCTTTTCTTCGTTGATGTATTTGACGAGTAGTGTTCATTTGAGCCCTGGACAGACTAGAAATTCCGCTTTGAATCTTTTTGACCAAACTGGAGAAGATTGGGAGAAATCAGTGAGCGGAAAAGTCACGCCCAGGCAACAGTCAGGACTCTTTATGGTATATGCCATTTTCATTCGCTGGATGCCTAGACGCTTGCCTTGTTTGCAGCATGTGTGCCTGTATATACAATCAAGAACCCTGCACATGCCACACTTCACACTGCTTCGCACTGCTGATTGTGGGAGACCAACAATGGAACTGGAAACCTGTTTTTTTTTCCCTGCAGGGAACTGGTGGCCACTTTCCGCGCGTTCTGTGACTGTGTGGGTGATGAAGAAATGAAACAGGTTTGTTATGCTGATGTCACACTTTGAAGAACGACGTACAGTGTATGCAGCGTTTTCGCAGTGTCCTTTTTTCCCTCAATTTCTCATGTTCATGGCTCTATAACCCATTTGTCACATGGAAGTGGTTATGGTGGTTGGTGGAGTTGGTGAGTGATATGGTATCTGCTTGCATCAGACTCACAAACTCGATCCTTCTATGGGCAACGTCATATACGTATGTATTCAGAAATCTGGCAAAATTAATTATAAAAGTAAATCGTCTGTATAAGTGATCCTATGGCCGTTCTTGCGTTTTCGATTATTTACTTTGGCCTCTCACTCAACTCAAAGTTACTCGATCACTCGTTTTATACCACTTAATTTTTATTTGCTTCTGGTTTCAAGGTGCTTAGCAGCCTACTGGAACAAAGAAAGTTTTTAAGATACCAATTCAAAGCTCAAACCAGGTGAATTTGTAATATTGCTGTTCATACGTCATTGGAGCTTTTTTGGCTGCCGCATTGATTCTGGACTGCGGAGCGGGGACCTCGTTCTGTCATGTGCCGTTTGAAGGACCAGTGGAACGCTACAGCACAGCTAATGTCAAGGGTTATGATGTGGCAGGCTTTTTCAATTAGCCTAATAATGTAAAGTGAATGAAGAAAACCTTACGTGGGGTGAAATGTGAGGGCGTGGTAACTGACGTGCACCTGACAGGCATGAACGGAAGAACAAGGGGTACGGCCCGCTAGTGCAATGCTTCGCTATGTTTACGAAGGTTCACTCTTTCCTTGCACGAGCATAGCACCAGTGGCCCCAGGCCCTAATGCAGGCAAGAAACGAGGACGTCAAACAATCAGATACTTGGTTACCACTGTACGAAGGGTCAGGTTTGATTGTTAAATGGAGGAGAACAAGGATTAGGCCCATCTGGTGCGATGTAACGAGGACCAGGTTTGCACTTTCCTAGCATGAGCATAGCACCAGTGCCACCAGTTCCATTTTCCTCCGTTTCTAACGGGGCACCGAAGGACATGGATGCCGCTGCAGCGAGCAATTTTGCAGTCATGTGGTCCCAGTCGGGCTATGGGTGATTGCATTTAAAAGGTGACAGCGACTGACAGGCATCAAACGAAGACTGGAAATTTCTGGTATACAGAAGTGTACGCAGGTATGTCTGAGCAGTTAGAGATGGACAGCGATTGCGTGATTTCTCTAATGCAGCAAAAAATGCCCTTTTTTTAATGTTTTTTAAACTTTTTTTAAGTTGTTTTTCCCCTTTGAGGAGCGCACCGCAAGCCCATGACCGCTGGCGGGAGTTCAAGGCTGGAGGTGGAGGACGCGAATGTACTGACAGCAAAACTTGTCCAAAGCGCAGAGGTGGATTCCGAATACTGGAGACGGTGGCACAGAAGATATCACATGAGCTCAGAGGGTCATAGGCAAACTCTCCTTGCACCTTGCTTCGGGTTTGAGAAGTCAGGCACAAGATGGGATGTGATTGGCATGGCATTCAGCCATCACGATAAACGCACTAATTATCTAGTATTTAATTCTGTATAACAGAGTGCAAATTTACCATCCTTAGTACGCTATTGAATAAAAAGCATACCAACTGACCTAGCTCAGTTGGTACACACCCGAACTGTTGAAACTTGAAATACAGACCCAAGGTCGAACTCCACTGGAAGCAGATGAGTGAAATACCACAGCTGTGAATTACCTAGGGCCAGTCAGTTCGATGATGGTATCTCAAGGCCGCCGCCCTTTTTCCTTTCTTAAAGCATAGATTAAAGAAGCACTGCCCCCGAAGTATCCCAAAGGTCACTATGTTATACATGCTAGCTGCAGGCAGGACCCATTCGGCCTACCAACTTGGGGGAGGTCAGCCACAGCGTGCAAAATCCTGTGAGTGGCAAATAGTGGTTCTGGCCACTAGCTCATGCTCTTGCATCACCTTTCAATCCTCTTTTTGCTCAGGTGTTGCTTTGTACCTCTTCAAACACAGTTTTGCATCTTTCTGCTTAGGTGTTGAATAGGATCTGTCGAAGTTCAAACCAAGTTATACAACCAACTGGCGCTCTGCTGTTGTTCCTCTTCAGATCTTGTCAGATTTGGAGCAAAAGTTCATTGACGACGAGTGGATTGAGGTGGTTGCGAAGATTGCAGGATCAACTGGATGGCGGAGGCCTCATCTGGTGAGTGTCTGTAGTGGAAACTGTACGGATTTGTGTGTTTTCTTTCCCCATTAACTCTATGAAGTCTTTCTCTTGCCGCTCTTTGTTCGAACGAGGATTAAGTGGTGCGTAACTTCTTGCAGCCATTTAAGTACCCATAGAAGTACATTCGTTTCTTCTGAACACACCTGCCAGAGTAACACAGCTCTTGTCAAACTGCAAATCAGGTGAGAAGGCTGGGAGTTGTCAGAATGTTTTTGAAAGCTTCTTCGTTTTGGATTTTTTTTTTTATGACTCGCTTTCTTTTCCACTTCGCATGCATGCAAACAGTTGGCGAATCACACTGGCGCACAGCGCCCACTCAAAACTCAGAGATATGGCAATCGAGAACACGATTCAGCTTCAAAACTCGCTTCAACAAGCTATGGCGCATCAGCGCCTGCACCAAACCACTCTCGTCACTGCAGCCCACACCACTGTTCGCACACACTCAACTTGGGATCACCCTGAATACTCCCACATGCATTCACTCTGTCGCTCACTCCTACACACTTGCTAACTTCTAACACCACAGCGGCTATGCCCTCTTAACTTCTACTAACTATGGCTACGCTATCATCTCTCAGCCCACTTCGACTTCGGGCGCTCTGCAGACCACCTCGCGCAAGACGCTGTAGCAGCGCTTCCGCATGGCTTACACAGCGAATGAATGAATTGCTGGGCGCTGCTCTTGATTTATACTTTTGTTTGCCGCTGGTCTGCCCCTTTCCACCCGCCCTTGGTGCACACAGTCCCACATGGTACTTGCCTGGACTGCGACTGACTGGGACCGGTACCGCTGACTGCACGGGGTTGCACTGCCGACTTGACGCAGTCGCACTGCCGACACAACGCAGTTGGGCTTACCACTTGCCCACTTGCCTCTGGCTAAACGTGAGACACTTTCGAAAGGCCACTTTCGGGACCTTCCGGAAGTCTGTGGACTGGGCCTTTCGAATCCTGTAGCAGCTACGACCTTGACCTTTCAGGACACTTACAGCTACGACCTCTACAGAGCTGTGACCCCTACTCGACAGACCTACAGATCAAGCCCCTACATCTACACAGACCTACGACAGACAAACAACCAATTGAAACACAGGTCACGGGTTCAAACACTCCGGGGTCAACTCGATACTGGGTAAGGTGAGGTCTGGGGATTGAACTCTGGGTCCCGCATCTGTGACAGAAAAAAAGTGAAAACCGTTTCATTTATTATATTCATCTGGTAGTGTATCTGGATTCGAACTTGAGTCTGTATTTCAACAGTTCATGGGTGTACCAAGTTACTACCAATTCTGGTTGGTTTTGGAAATTCTTAGTGAGTAAATGACAGTTGTTTTTTCTGTTCTGGAATGAATCCTTCAATGGCTGAGCAAAGCAAGAGTGCTTTTAGATTGTCCCAAGTCGATATATTCGTAACTACCACCTGGAGTATCATCGTGATTTCAGAGTGTCTCCAGAGGGCCAGTAGCAAATGTATCCAAGTTTATGCACAAGAAAGGGGAGGCAAGAGGGAAACGGAGGTTGAAGATGAAGGGCTTGGCCCGTGGAGATGGGTGTTGGTGCCCGTATTGGGCACATAAAGAAGGATGACACTTCTTGAAGATGGGTGTTAGTGTGCCCACATCGGGCATGCAGAGGAAGAGAAGAAAACACAGCGGGGATCCAAGTAAACATGTCCTAGTCTCAGTATACAGCCTGAGTAACACCAGTCCAGACACAGACAGAGGAGAACTGCTCGCAAATGTAGCATATGCAGTGGCAATGGCATTTATGTCATTTTTACGAGGCTTTGCCGCTTTTGACCAATTTCAACATCACACCAGGGGAGAGTAGAGGATGCTCTGAGGCTTTTTTCTGCACTCGCAGGAGAATAGAGTCATTTTCTTAAGCCCCCGCTCATTTTTGTTGCCGACCCTGCGTCATGGGCCACTATTCCAACCAAACCCTGCCGGGGAACTGTCTTCAATTTGCACCCTGGCCGAACCTGCATTGGGCCTGTCTCTTAGCCTGGTTGTGGCCCACTTGTGACCGATTGGGAATTTTCTTCGTTACACAGCAAGGGCTGAGGCTTAGACCACCAGCACTTCTGAGGCACTTTTCTCCCGACCCTCGAAATGCCCTGCGCAGTGCACACCGAAAAAGAAACAAACCAGCGCGGC